TAGTTTTTATTTTTCGTTTTGCCTTTTCGTTTGCAACTTTTCTTCAGGTGTGAAAAAGATCCAAAAATTTGCAATTGAAATGGGAAACCGTGCACCTTAGGTATGTCGAATTTACAATTTTCCGTTTTAAGTGTACATTTTCTCCAATTTAGTGGGGTATTGTTAGAATTTGAGAGTTAAAAAACCGGGCACATAAAAAAAAAAGTAGATTACGAAAGTTTATTAGCATTCGAACTATATTACCTGCCTCGAGAAATTAGAATGATTAAAGTTAGATACCAAGGTTGATTAATTGAAATCCATTTGTATTCTTCTGACGCTCCTAAAAGTATAGACACAGCTTTTATCTAGAAGATGTAACATTTTTGACCATGAAAACTGTGAAATAAATTATATTTGTGTATGGAACATCCTAAGGGTATGTGTATTCCTTCACTTATTTTCTTTAAATCATACCAATTTTTTAATAGGGACGACCTCTTAATATGCCAATCGTGTATTTTTTTTCTAAATAATTTAGTGCTTCTCTGTTTTTCTTTTTTCGTAATTTAGTCTTTAAAAATTCTGGCTCAATTAAGTTCATTTCCTAATTTCATCTATTATATATACGCTAACATAACCTCCAAAAATAAGACAGTCCATGCATTGCATGGGGCCAAAACTAGTAAAAAGAATAAAATCATTGAGTCTGCCCAAGTTACTAAGGCTTTCTTAATATCTATCTTACAATCTAAATCTAATTTGCTCCTCCATGATTGATGGGTTTATCATAATTATCATTTGGTTTAAATTTATCACTATATTTACTTTCTTTTAATGGTTGTCTATNTTTTTGGCCCGTGTATTTTTTTTTTCATCTAATGCTTTCAAATAATCGTAAGCTTGATATAATGGACGGAGCTCTTTAATCTTACTAATTTCAATCTATGGTTCCAACTAATTAACTTTAGGTAAACATAAGAAGACTGCGAGGATTTTCATATCTGTGTCGAAAATAGATCTTCTACATTGTAAAAACTGGTAAAAAACTGTGAAATAAATTATATTTGTGTATGGAACATCCTAAGGGTATGTGTATTCCTTCACTTATTTTCTTTAAATCATACCAATTTTTTAATAGGGACGACCTCTTAATATGCCAATCGTGTATTTTTTTTCTAAATAATTTAGTGCTTCTCTGTTTTTCTTTTTTCGTAATTTAGTCTTTAAAAATTCTGGCTCAATTAAGTTCATTTCCTAATTTCATCTATTATATATACGCTAACATAACCTCCAAAAATAAGACAGTCCATGCATTGCATGGGGCCAAAACTAGTAAAAAGAATAAAATCATTGAGTCTGCCCAAGTTACTAAGGCTTTCTTAATATCTATCTTACAATCTAAATCTAATTTGCTCCTCCATGATTGATGGGTTTATCATAATTATCATTTGGTTTAAATTTATCACTATATTTACTTTCTTTTAATGGTTGTCTATCTCTTACTTTATCATAATATTGTTTATATGGTTTACTGTATATAGGTGCATAACTTTCATCTGAATCTAGTAATTCTTATTTATTAGAGGGTTCTGCTTTATTTGGTCCTCCTCCTGTATTCATTAAAATTTGATATTCATCTAAATTTTCTAGGCCTAATTGATCAAAATTTTCTATATGTAAATCTAATTCTTCATTCATCTTTATCTTCCTTATTTTGATCTTCTTTAATTTCTAATTTTCCTAGTGACTTTTCTTTGAATTTTCCTATTTCCTCTTCTTCTTATGATATTTTTCGTAAGATCTTTTTTTCTAAATTCGTCATACATACTTCCTTGTTCTATTATAACTTCTTCTTGTACTAAATGTTTTTTTCCTATTCTGGTTATTTCTTTTTCTATAAATTTTTTAACTTCCTGCTTCTATTATTTTTTTTTCTTGTTTTATATGTTTCTTTCCAATTCTTGTCTTTTCTTTTTCTATAAATTTTTTATCTATCTTTTTATCCTTACTTATAATTTCTTTTAACTCTCTAATTTCAAGTTTTAATATATTTATATCATTTCTTATTTCTTTTAGTTCGTTGTTTACATCTTGAACATCATCTATTAGTATTTTTATTAATGCTTTTAATTCTCCAACAAATTCTCCCATTTGATATTTATCTTTTCTTTGATTGGTTTAAATAAAATGTCCTCCATTCAACATTTTTACAATCTTTTATTATCTTATCCTACCTATGTATTGCACTTTCATCATTTGTTAATTCTTTTGATTTTTCAAAATAGTTTGCTTTTTCCCTATATCTTTCTTTTTTTAATTTTAATATTTGTTTCTTTTGGGATTCTGTTAATTTTCCAGGAGTTAATAGTTCATCTAGTATTTGTTGATTTATCATATTTATTCTTTTTTGTTTTTTACTTAACATATTTTTTTATTTTAAATTTTTCTATAAGTTCTTCCAAGTTATATATATATATATATAT